CTTCGCGAAGCTCGTCGCAGGAACAAAGAGGCTGGATGCAACCGTGGATTGAAACAACGAGCCATACTTGCTGGCAAGATTGCTCAGCGACCCAGCAAAACAGAGTGGCAGCAGCATGCTGTGAATTGCAGACGAAGATGACATAGGTAATTACTTCGAGGTGCAATATCTGATGTTGGTGGCCGGCGTGCAGAGGGAATGCTGTCCACCACAGCTGCCTGGGTGCTCCAGACGATGCGCAAAGTGTGACATGTCCATCGCATCCACCGCTCCAACTTCATGGACTCGCACTGCTTCTTCAAACTGCAACACCACCTCGCATTCATCCTCACAGGTCTGGATCCCCCCAATGCTGGTCATCATCTTGCAAGCCACTGAAATTACTAGCAGCAGCGAACAACTGGCACCAGGAGTACATGGCCTTTGCACATGCCTGCGCCCATAAGGACGAGAACATTTAGTGCAAGCGGAGCAGCGCAAAGCTCTACGCAGTCCACCGCGAATGCCTGTCGAAGCCGTGATGTCTCGTCTAGCGTTTGCAACAGCTTGAGAGCACTCATGTCGCCCTGTAAGCGCAGGAGCTCTTCCGAAAGGCAAAGGTCCAACAGCAGCTCTGGATGGGGGCTATGAGGCTGGAGGCCGGAGTTCGGAGCAAGCAAGGTCCTTCATTGCCAGGAGGCGGGGTGGCTCGTGTTTTTCCTATCTAGCGTATAATTCCACACTGCTGGGCGCAAAAGACCTTGTTGAGATGTCCGGGCTACGACGGCTACGAGTCAGTTCTGATGCAGCCCCAACGCACGCAGACTGACAAACCAGGCACAACTAAAGACCAACAACGCTTACCAACTGCCTTCCAGGATACAACCAAGGCAGTGGACTACGGTCTTATCATTATCAGCTCTGAACCTGCCCTGTTCCGGGCTAGTCCGGCCCTCGCCGCAGGGGCAGGCAAGGATTCATCCGGCCGGCACTCTCAAACTACTGGAACAAGCGAAGCACATCTCGGGGGGCTTTGCAAGGGGGCGCTATGGCAAAGCCTGAGAGGCCTCAATCGGAGAATCGCCCCCCCTTTCCCGCTCTGCTTTAAAACTGCGCTGCCTTTCTCGCCAGGGCTTTCGGATCCTCCTGGAAGACAAGGAACCAGAAATAAGGTCAAACATTGCCACAAGGAGCATGAGTAACCACGATCGCACCCCTCCCTCCATCTGTCCCTCCCTCACGTGCTCGAGTCGGTTGCCATGGGGGTTTGACAAAAAATGCTTCTCTACGTTTGGGATCAAGCAAACCTAGCAGCCGTCTCAAGCCTCAGCCGATGCTTTCCTCTGCCATACTATGCTTGGACAACAGGGTTTGTAGGGTTGACGATGGTGTTGGAGTTGCAACAATGTATGTTCCACCACCTTGAGTCAACACTGATTCGATGTGGATGTCTTGTCCAAAACATGACAGCATACTGATACAAGGAATAAAAAAACATGCTTTCTAATGAACATTGTGCTGTATACTTTGATTAAAGCTTAGGGTAAATACCTTTATTAATACAGTATATTGAAGCTCTCTCATATCATTTGACTGAGAGAGTACTGCAACAAACTGTTTTTGTCTTGCTGCCTCACAAAAAATATAGCGCATCACACTGCCGAGAGCATAAAGACGGCTTCAGAACGAAATGACCCGACCTGGATCCAAGGATGTCTTGGAGGAACCCTCAACCCTAAAACCCCACCATAAGACTGTTTTGGGTGACTCTCACTGCAATGCATTCGGGTCTAGGGTGCTGGGCTTCTTGGGGGTTAGGTTGCGGCTCAGGCAACGGCAGAAGACATGTACAAAGCCCCTGGGAACAAGCCACGGGATGAGCTCCATGGAACTCCAGAGTAAGACTGGCTGTGGGCTGTCCTCTTTGTTCTTGAGGCCCAATCCTTCCAGGAACCTCAGAATCTGTGTACGGTTCAGGGCTCAAGGGCTGCAAGAACTGGGGCCGGTAGCCTTTCACAACTGAAGTGCCGACAAGAACAAATAGAAACCACCCCACTTGCACACTACACCCGTAACACCCGTACCCCAAACCCACCCATGTATCAAAAACCAACCAGTCGATTGTTCGATTGTATCTGAACCATTATGCCCCAAGCATGCCTGTGCTGCACCTCACCTTTTGGCACCAGGCCAAAACGCGGGCCGTAAATGCAAACGGCCTTGAGATTAGCATCCTGCATGATCCTTTGTAATTGCAGCGAAACATGTCCACATCATGAGGTACATGGCATCTAACATTGTGATTCTCATGAGCTGCGGCTCAGCTGTGACTGAAGCTGTTCAGGGCTGTGGACTTGCAAATGTTTGCTGATCTGACCACCCCATAAAAAAAAAAGCCTGCATTGCAGTTTCGCAAAGGAGCTCTCGAACGGAGCGGCGTGAAACCATCATTTGCTCCGAAAGCTCGGCGGCATGCACCACCTGCGACGAGACGTCTGGGGGTTGGGCACGGCTTCATTGAACGAACTTGGCCTGTGGATTTGCCATGACTTGCCACAACATTCGGTAGATGGATCAGCGGACGGCAGCGCATCAAACACGTCGTTATTCTCGCGTCTCCTCTAAAATGCATCATCTAGTGTATGTTCTGGTCATATGTACGGTCATACAGCATAACAGAACATAACATAATGAACTACATTAAAAATAAAATAGAACACTATGCAACACAACACGGTGGACAATTATATACTATACCATCAAAGCATGTGCACCTGCGCGGATCTGTCAGCCGTGGAGTTGTAGTACTCAGAAGTCAGCTTGTTGACTCCCGTGCCTCAGTTGATGCCTATCGCACCGTGTTAAAACTATCTTGGGAACGTAGGGAAGCAGTGCCTGACTCCTGTTGTGAAGCTAGTATTTGACGGTCGCTTGCTACCGCCATCCCTTTGCTGTTGTATCCTCGAATACTCCCAGTCGTCCGAATGCGCTAATTTGTCAGATATCTCTTGCAATCTGGTCGTGAGTCTCAGGTGTCTCGTGTAAAGCCTGGGGTCCAGTCTCTAGTCTCGTCTTGTCTCAAGGTTTGGTGTCTTGGGTCTCGCGTCTCGGGTCGATACCATGCCGTCTCGCCCGTCGTGGACGGGGTGGCGGGCATTTGCATTAGCTCGTGATTCCGAGTCACCATGCCGCATCCTAGGGTCGCATATCCTCGTCTTTGCATAGGCCTATCGAGACTTACAATCAGTAGCGTGCGATTACTTGCTGGAACTGCGACAATTAGCGCAAGTGTTCATGTCATCGCTACCTTGTATGCACTACCACTAGAGCTACTCCGATAAGTGTTCGTCTGTAGATGCTGAGTTGCTTTCCTCACTTCGGCTCGCTCTCTCTTTTCTGATTTCGGCTTGCCACTTTTGCTACGAGTACGGTTCCTAGTGTATGCATGTATGTATATATTACACATGTATACACATATCTATGTATGTATCTCTCTTTATCTACATATATACTTATATTACATATCCATATACATACATACATACATACATACATACATACATACATACATACATACATACATACACACACCTCTACGTGTATATACATACAGTAGAAGCCCAAAAGTTGGAAACCCAGTAGCCTCAATCCTTAAGAGCAATGTAGAAGGAGTCCCAGCACTATTTGTCCTTAATCCGGTTTTCAACTTTTTGGTTTCCTATATATATATATACATATCTGTATATTGTCATGATTTGGCAGTTAAAAAGGAAGGGTCTGACGCTGCAGCAGTGTGACAGGTCTCCTCAACAATGGCTGCATCACACAATGCCGGATGAGGGCCGTCTTCATACCTCCGGGCAAGCGATGGCTTGGTGGATTTGCAAACCATTCGGAACGACAACAGTTTATGTTTATGATAGGCATGGTTTGGTCAGCTTCTGTGTCCCTCTCCATGCGGTTTCTGGGGCAGGCAACACAGTAGCATGTGTTCGACGATGAAGCCGTTGAATTGAATGGCGCTGGAGCCGGTGCATTAGCAGGATTTCGCGTCTTTCAACAGGAATGCGAGACCTGGGCCCGGAAAGTTGGGACCACTGAAGGCCACAGGCCCAGCCTCTTCTTGCCTGACAGCTGGAGCGCTTGCAGAGCGCAACTGCCATCCTGGCATTCGTCGTTCTCCGCAAGCCAATCTCCTGTACATGTAATTTCGACTCAAACAGCTGGGACTGCCGGGCGAGGTGGGTCCGGAAACCTTCGGGTCATGGGATCACTGCCACAGGGCCCGTGCATCTCACTCTGTACTGCTTCTCATGAACTCACCTTGTGCAGCTGGGGAGGCTAGCAGCGTCAGCAGCAAATATCTGAAGCACCTGCGGCGAGCTGGCTCGATAGTTGCACGCATCGACAGACACTCTGCCACCCTCCTACCACTACCACTACCACGGCCACG